TACTTGGTAATCTTGTTGAAGTACAACACAAAACTTCTTTAAATTTCTTAACAGCCTTTGATACATATGGCAATAATTAAGAGGGTCATATCTAAAAACAGTAAATCAAACTATATCTACTTCATCTGCTGTTAAACCATACATTCATGTATTACATCCCTAATACAGTGAGAATTTTATTGCCTTCAAATTTATTTTCTAAATGGATGCATATAATAAAATGATTCTAGTGCATGATATATAATGTTGTAAATGTTATATGCATGTGTTTTTTTATAAAATAGGATACCTACTTTTAATACATCACATTTTTAGCATAAAACAGTGTAGTTTTTAGCTTGTTTTGAGAATGATGTTTCAAGAATGAATGCAACTTTAATTTGTTAGACAAAATCAAAACATCTTAAGTCACATGACCTTGTATATCAGGTTTCAAAGCTGAGAGAAAATTTACAGAAATGTCAATGTCAACCAAGTTTACACACAAATGGTGTGGAAAATATGCTGAACTAATCCTTGTGCAGAATTCAATCACTGATTGATACTTAAGCATTAGTACACATCAATTACCAAATAAAAGCCATAGTAACTTTTTTTATGAGCTGTGTCTGTGTGAAACCCATACAGAAACCAAATACCAGTTTGACTACCCTTGAATACACAAACATATAGCACGGCTTTTACTTCAAATTAGGATATCAACACAAAGGCTAACAGAGTTTGTAACTAGATTTCTGATTAAGAATTAAAAAAAAGTCATAGAGTTATACGAGTCAACAATTTATACTGGAGATGAGAGATGACAAGATAAATTACAAATTGTAATAGATCAAATAATATTGAAACATGCTAGCTTTCTATCAACTAGTTGCTGAGTAACATTGGGATGATTTTTATAATGTGCAATAAACTTTGCTGCCATCATACGAGATTGAATACTTCCAAATTGTTTCTGAATGATCTCCAAAACAGTACACTATAGTATACTGCTAACAATGAGTACTGGTATTTAGAAGTTTTGATCTGGAATATTAGTGTACCAATGCAAATATGAAACTTTAAATGTTACAATTTCCTCTCAAAGCTCTGAAAGTAACATTCAGATTGGCCAATTTCACAGAAATTTTGGCTACAATTTCCTACACATATATCCATTCTGACCTATTACATAATTGGGGCAGATATAATTTCTAATTTGATAATTTTGACTGCTTTAAATGGAACAGATAGCATGTGAATGACTGTTAAGAGCCAGATGCATGCAAGCATCAGAATTGAATTGTGGGTAAAAAGGGGCTGGGGTGTTGACAATTTCCCTAGTTTGACATGTTATTGACTGGAAATCCAAAGACCTGTTGATGACCTGGATAGTGCAACAGTTTTTAGGTTATCAGCAGCTCCTTGTGTAAATATTTACGGCACTAACCATATGAATCAATGAATATAGCATGACCATTTTTTATCATTTACCTTGCTCCAAGTACAAAGTTCACTCTAAAGATCTTTAAACAGAACTTGCAATCTACAAATCAGGCGATGTCAGTGAACAACAAGGGAACAATGGACTTTCCACATAATATTGCACAATAATGTGAATGAAAAGGACCAAATTTGTATCATGTGCCTGCTGAACTTGCCTACATTGCATTTGACCTACAAGTTCAAAGTTATGCTGAGCAATATTTTTAGGATCCTTGCCAAGAATGTATAGAACAGTCAGCATCCAAGATGTACAATACTAAACAAGGCCATGAAGGAGCAGAATGGGTTGTTGTAAACATGCTGATGATTGCATCATCCTTATACCATTTAAGTACTCTGTTAACAGCTGTGCTTGAACATTCTACATGCAATATTACTACGAGACTTGTGCTTGAATATACCTGAAAATATAGGTATAGATTTGGTGATGCGCATGATCTACACAGTCACAAATATCTACTTATTTTTACCCAAAGTTGGGCCTGAATTTTAGTTCTCATACTATGGAAAAAGTTAAATCCCTATACACAGGTCAATCTGCTTTTATACGGTTTTACACAAGGCATCATATAAAACTCCAAAATAAATTGTTTACAATATTGCGTTTAAAATTTGGCAAAGGAGTACAAAATCTGTATATAACTGAACATGAAGCTGACGCTTGAACTAACACATGTAGACAGGCCTTCGTCTCAAACACTGAATGTACATATACATCAAAAGGTGCAAGTACCTATATCAAACAGACCGTTCTATGTACGTGGACACTTAAAGAGAATAAACCATTTTATAACAGTTCATAAAACATTCAGAAAACATTTATCCGGAAGACCCTTACACAAATTAGCAGAAGACTATCTCATTGGCTTAGAAAGAACTTTGGTAACACCTATTACCCACAAGTCTCTGCATATTTTTTCAACATGACTGCTTGATGAAGAACAGATTACGGTAATTTACTAGTAATTAAATGTATTCAAAAATTCATAATTTTCAGATATATATTTTGAGTAGTACTAGTATCATTACTACATTCCATATTCAATGTTTAAATTGTAAAACAATCATTTTCAGTATGGGTTCAATGTTGGTGAATTGTTTTCAACAGTTATTTGAGAATTATAAAACAATTAAATTATATACATTTTATATAAAAAAAATCTTTCATGCATTTTTTCTAAATTGCAATGAAATGCAATGCTTCCATTTAATTAAAATGGTTAGGTAAGTAACTTAGAACATAGCAATACAGTCTATTTGTTATAGTGAACTACACTAAATGTAATAATTCCAGTGTGCAACTTGCAAAAGTGTTGCATAGTAACAACATCACCTTGTTGACAGGCAAGATGTAGATGAACGATTATGACACAAGATCAATAGCTGCAATATTTTTTTTTTCATATGTCATACACAGTTAAAAAAGGATTATACCAATGACGTCTATCTACCACACTGACAAGAATTATTCATAATGACGAAGGCTTATTTGGTCAAATGTCACACTGCCTGGGTAAAGCATGCTGCTCATAACTGGTACTCAAAACAGATAGATTTTACGAGTATGAAAAAAACTACTTGATGAGCACCATCTGTGCATATATCCATATTTTGTTATCCGTATGTTACGCAAAGAATTATGCATCAAAATACCTAGATAACCAGAAAGTGGACTGTACAGAAAAGTCTTCCATAGAGGTTTTCATTTTTTCTAGACCAGTTGTTTTATAATTTATCATGTTTAGTCCATCACTAGTCTGAATATCTATACATTATGTGTAGTATCTTATTGTAAGCTTTTAAAATTTATGGGAGGGTCCTACTGGCGAATAGCTTTAGGAAAAGTGCAAGCTTTATTAGAGGTGCATCTTCAACAGAAGTGCATGTAAACCAACAGTTGCATTTATTGTATCCTAGATCATTACATTATTATTCATTTTAAATATACACACCACTGTTATTTCATGGATAAAACCAAATGAGATCAGAATGCCACAGACTGGTAAGAAGGCAGAAAATATTGTTTGGTTCACTGCTCCAGTGGGCAGGACGATCATAGGTAGCACCGTTTGTTTCATTACTCTAGCAGGTAGGACAACCATGGAGTTGTTTGGTTCACTGCTCCAGTGGGCAGGACGATCATAAGTAGCACTGTTTGTTTCATTACTCAAGCAGGTAGGACAACCATGGAGTTGTTTGGTTCACTGCTCCAGTGGGCAGGACGATCATAAGTAGCACTGTTTGTTTCATTACTCTAGCAGGTAGGACAACCATGGAGTTGTTTGGTTCACTGCTCCAGTGGGCAGGATTATCATAGGAATTGAATCTGTGATTATGTACAATATCCTGATGCTGCAGAGCGTATCTGTTCAGCATGTCACACATCAAAACAACTATAGCCAGACTTGTAACACGTAAATGAATGGCAACATGTACAGCATTTAAGTTTTCCACATCGGTTCACTACCAAAATCTATTGACAATCTAATAGTCTTATTTAAAGTCTTCAACAAATGGGAACATTCAATTAATAGTAAGGCATGTTGGCTTAATACAATGTAAATAGGATACATTGTAGCAACAGGTTTCATTCCCACCAATCTGTTACCACCACTGAATCAATAACAAAGCCTGTTTTATGAATATGCAAATCTCCAATCTGGTGTATATAATCCCCGCAGCAATTGATAAACCGGATGTGAAAATTCAATTTTGTTTTTAAATTCACCAATAAAATTCAAATCACAGCACTTTTTGCTCAAAAAATTTAACCTGGAGCAAAACGTAAAAATCAGTTTTCAAACATGATTTGAACAGTACATTCATGGGGATTTTTTTTCATTGACTGGACAGAATGCTGAGAAAAATCAAATCATTCTACGATGAAGAACTTGTCAACACATGCTATAAAACTATAAGCTTTTAAATTCCAGTTTGAATCACAGTCATCACAACCTCTTATCCTACAACCATCAATGTCTTTCTATCAAGTGAAACAAATTTACTATTAATTATTTTCTGTGCGTTATTTACATAATCTTTTTTTTTACTCGTCCTGTAGGATTCCCGCCATGTGATACCTAACAAGCCATGTTTGACATAATATAATATGGAAAGAAAAAAATACTACAATGTGAATGTGTTCACATCTTCCATCTATCTTAGGGAAGTTTGCATTACAAGTGGCGGTTACCAAAATAAATTTTATCCAAGAACATTTTTTTTTTAGATTCACTACAAATGTGGAACTAAATCACACACATTTTGTGTTTTAGCAAAAAAATCTATATTTTAATAATTTGAAATTACCCACGAACAAAATCTTGAAATCAATATTTCTATGTGGAAACCAAGGCAGCTGCCAACTATCAAATTCTATAAAATGAATCTAAAATCAATGTAACAGTTATTTTGGAAAATTGTCTGACAGTTGATATTTTTTTTTTTATAAAAAAAAAACATGTTGCGACATTACCTGGACATGATAGTGACGATAATAAGCCATCCAGGAGAATGGATTGGTTACAACTACAAAGATATTGGGTTTTAAACCAATTTCCAGACTTTGAAGTGATGTATCTAGTGTATCTATCCAAGCAGTTGATTAGATGGGAACGGGGAGAAAGGTAAAAGGAAAAAGAAATTATCGATGGAATATTGTCAATAAATTTCAATGACCATTTGTGGTCATACTGCAGTAACAGCTGCAGGTACTGGGAGTGGATATGGGACTGTGACGTGCAGTAAAATGAATGGATTAAAAAATAATTGACAAGCTGATCATGCACCAACCTGTGGATATCTAAGGGACAGGCTAAATATCGAGAAGGAGTGGTATGTTTGACAAGCTAATAATGCACCATCCTGTGGATATCTAAGGGTCAGGCTAAATATCGAGGAGTGGTATGTTTGACAAGCTGATAATATACCATCCTGTGGATATCTTTAGAAGGGACAGGCTAAATACCAAGAAGGAGTGGAATGGTTGACAAGCTAATAATGCACCAACCTGTGGATATCTAAGGGTCAGGCTAAATATCGAGAAGGAGTGGTATGTTTGACAAGCTGATAATATACCAACCTGTGGATATCTAAGGGTCAGGCTAAATATCAAGGAGTGGTGTTTGACAAGCTGAAAATGTACCATCCTGAGGATATTTAAGGGACAGGTCAGATACTATGAAGGGGTGGGATGTTTGACAAGTTGATCATGCGCCAACTTGTGAATATGAAAGGGTCAGAGCAAAGCTGGTATTAACCCTTATCGTGCCAGCCCATGTACTTTTTCATTGACTTCACCAGATAGGACATCACAATGAAGGTGGGGCTACCACCATTCTGTACACCATTTCCAAAAATGAGCATTGCTTAATTACATTTTAATTAATCCTGAATATTGCCAAACATATAATGTTACCTTATTGTGCAGCAATAGCAAAATTAGTTTTCACCAAAAAAAATACATGAATTTAGATAGATTTCATACAAAAATGATGAAAACATACCAAATTCCCTCCTCAATATTAGCAAATCATTCATTACAAAAAGCGAAGTGAAATTGTCCACATAATATTACAGACTTGAGTGAGTTTAGTTTAAAATCAACATGAATAAAAAATACTTGGCACTAAATTTGACATAATTTAGTGAAATTAAACCACGAGGACTAATTGTCACAGTCTTCCTTCAATCTGTTCAAGCCCACACAGTATTCTTTGATAAAGGTCACATGGCTCATTTCAAACAACCTTATTTATGACACAAGATCTGAACAAATAGTCTTGTTCCTATTCCCAATGGATACTGGTCTGTAATGGGATTTTCTGTAACAGCAGTTTTCAATTTTAATGAATCTAGGAATTTTTTTAAATTAAATTGACACTATTCTGCTGTAAGGCAAAGTGCAAAATGTTTTTTTTTGTGTTCAAAACAAATGATTTTTCCTAATTAAATAATTATATTAATTAATATATTATTGATTTTGTGATATAACGGCTGTGATTCAAAATCATATTTACGTTACATTTTTCAGTTATTAACTAAAAGAAGATAATGACCTTCAATGAGTAAATAAATTGATGATTAATTAACAAGTCTAGAATTTTTTATTTCAAAATTCTTAATGATCTGAATATTTCTATTTTCACAGTGAGTTTTGTTCAAATGATGTTCTCAAGAATGGTTTAAAAAATATGTCGCAAAAATTTCAAGCACTAAAAAAAAAATTGCTTACAGGGAATATCGTTTAACCAGATGTGCAATGTCAAAACAACAAATAATCATGTTTCCACGTTCCTGAATAAATGCGAAATTACTTTCATTCGCAATATAGTTAATTCAAATACAATTTTATTAGTTGATTTTAAGATAAAATATGGACTACAGAATTCAATAGATTTGTCACTAGTCTGTATAAATGAGAGGAAACCATTATTTTGTGGTTTACTTGTTCACTGTATTGATATTGTAGCATGTTATGTACAGTTCTCCAGTAACAGATGTCAACAGGAAGTGTGCACCATATGGCAAGGGCTGAACCAATACAATATGCTGGTTGGGCGCCATAGTTACAGAGATGTTTTTGTTAATTATTACTTTTTAAAACAAATTCTCTAATATTTTTTTAAGGCTACATTATTTTCCTCTATTTGATGGCACATGTTTTTTTTTTAAAGCTTTTATCTGACACTCGTATAACTGTACTGCTGCATCAATTCAAACCATAGGGCATTTGAGTAATGTGCATCTAAGAATGTAAATACGGCAATATTTCTGTCACATTATTAGATTAATTACTACATATTACACCACAGGTAGGAGTTCATTAATTAACACATCCTTATTATAGTGCAATAAACTATTGCGTATACTGTAGATATTTTAATTTTCAATACAAGGATTGGGAAATAATATTTCTACCCTTTAGGCTAGACTTTTATTATCCCTTGTTTCGCGAACCCGCCGATGAACAGGAGCCAAAAATGAAATAAAAATAAAATTTTATTTCAGTGTAACTTTTTGCGCCCGCTGACCTGTAAGCGCAAAAAATAGCTGAAAAAATATTATTTTTATCTTCATTTTTTTACCGCCCGGCGCATAACAAATCCAAGTTGCATTTTCGTGGGAGTATCATGATCAAAGTACCGAAGTCTTGCGCAGATGAGAAACAAGGTTATACATGGAATAACATTTCATTTCATTTCTTCTTTAATTTTGCTTATTTCGCTGACTGGAAAATGCGCTAAATTAAAACCCAGTGAATATGTAAAATTGAGCATAGAACACATTATCTAAATGATGAAACCGTGAATAACACTGAATATGCCCAAAATGGTAAATCAGTGAAATTTAAACCCAGTGAAAATAAATCATTTTACAGTATGCTACATAGCAAAATTTTCATTCATGGAAATATTTCTTCTTTAACCAGATTATTTTAATGTCACAAGCTTTTCATAGTATAGTACATGCAGTTTATAAATCTGCAGATTCATCATTGGGCTTTCATCAGTAACATCACTTTTTCTGAAAATGAGAATTAACCAGATTGAGAGACAAATGTAGGTATCAATTAAATGATAAGCCTTGATATGGAAACAATTTGTGACAACCCAAAAATGTGAAATTCACAATGGCCTTATAGAACAGCCTGATACTACAAAATCTACACCAAGGTCTATAGCACCAAGAGCTAAATGATTTCCAAGACTTTTCCAGACCTTTTCCCAAAACTTTCTTGCATTTTTCGCAAGACATCTAGACCCTTAATTCAGGCCAACATCATCACCAAAGCTCATCAAAGTTCCAGGGATACGGAAGTTCCCTGGAGAAATTGAGCCTTTCTAAATTGAATTATGAAAAAATTTGAAGACTTTTCAATGATTTTTTATTTTTCCATATACATGTAATTTAAAAACAAGACTTTCCAGACCTCAAAAAATCCGAAAGATTTTCCCAACGCTATGGACCCAGCACATGTATGTTAATTTTGAGAGGATTAGCAATGTTCAGAGTGTTTTTACTTTACTAATTTCTCTGATTTAAAAAATATTCTTCCAATATTTATCCAGATATTTATTAAAAATAAAGCACTGTAAAGGATATTAATAAGTATAATATGTGTACATGCATCTACTGCATTCAACAGATACATGTAATCTCCATATCAAGGAAAATTGCCTCGATGCGAAACATCTTGCTCACATTGGTTGATCCCTAATATAAACTTTGAAAATTAATATTACTTACATCAGAATATAAAAATTCATACATAATCCTTGCTTAACAAAAATACAAATATAAAAAAAATTTA